TAAAAGGGAGAGGCGGAAATGACGTACAACCCCGGGGTCCCCAGCAAGAAAAACCAATCTGTCCTAATCGCAAAAAATTCGTTCCTGCAAAACACAAAAAATCCCAAATCTACAAAAATAAACTTCCGCAAAAATTTCGTGCCACACGGTATACCAATGCAGGCTTCTGCAAGCCCGGAGCAACCCTAAGGTGTTGCCCGGAGCCGCTTGATTTACCTGGTTTACCTGTGGTGAGTTTCTAGTGCACAGTCTCCTGCGGCCATGAGAGAGAATTGATCACTTGATCAAATCTCACTGATAAGATCGATGAGACGTGTGAATGAGAGAGAACAGTTTTCAGGTGGTGCTTTATCCGCACTTTGTCATCGGATCCGAGCGTAATATACAAGCCATACGGGCTTTCTTTCTCACTTTTTTAAAAAAAGGTGCATCCTAGAAGGACTTTTCCTTCAGCGAAAAGAACTGCATCGGACAGCTGAGCGACAGCTGAGTTGCAAGCTGACAGAGGTACTCTCGATCGCGACGCCACGAAACAGGGAGAGACAGAGATAGTTACTTTTAAAGGTAAAAAGCCGATAGAATACGTAAAAATTGAAATATAAATTCAATTCGGGAATTTATTTCACCAATTTTAGATGGTAAATGATTTGTCTGCTTGATTTGCAGTGAGAAGGAGGTGCGTTCTGGTTCGGCGCGGCCCATATGTTTCTCAGATCAAGCAGCGTCAACATAACAGTGGTCGGTTAGTTTTGGTTTTATATTGGGTGCAAATGGTGACAGAAAATCATCTATAGGTAGGTTAAAATAGTTCATAACATTGGTAGAAAAAGAAAAAGCACAGTCAGTACGAAGGTTAACGTAAACTAAACTTTATCAACTGCAGAGAAATTTCCTTGCGCCTTTCTGCGTCGGGTTGTTCCACAGGTGCCCCAAGCGTAATATGAGAGTTTGTATGGGAAAACTAGAGTTTGAAACTTAGATGAAATAAATGAAGTAAAAGCGATAAAAGTTATTAATAAAGTGTAAATATTGTTACCTGGAGTCGTTGTCTTTGTTTTTATGAAGTTTCAACGCGATTTGAGTACTTTTACATCATCTGACCTGACTGTGTAATAATAAGAGACAAGGTAGGACAGAATCGCTCGATAGACCTTCAAAGCTGCTCAGAATCAGCTCCAAATTTCACGTGAAAACGCAAACACACTTACATTTCACGCCGCCGAATCCACAAAGTGGTACCTTAAGATTGCCTTCCTGCAATCTGTTCCGGTAAACCTTGCGTTTGGATCGCATAACTCGATCGAAAAGATCAACTACAGTTCAAAAATCGGCGCCATTTATCTGTGACTAGTAAAAGTGTAACATTTCAACCGTTTTGTCGCCCGGCGGTGACTGGGCGCTAGCGTCAAATAATGACTCACCGGGAGAGGGTGACATTACTTCGTTAAGACAAATCTCTACGCACCCACCTTCCAGCAAGGTCGGCTTCTTTGTTTTCACTCGGTTAATGAACGAAGCAACAAAACAAAACAAAGAAGAGCCGACCTTGCTGGACCTTGAAACACAGAAACACACAGAACGGATCGAAATCCACCAATCACAAACCACAAACCTTAACCTTTTGAACCCGTTAAAGTAAAGCTTTGTTTCCTAAGAGGTCCATTAAGATGATTGACGGCAGCGAAAAACGCAATCGTCGGTTGGCTTTTGAACTTCAGAATTCGCATGTTTGTGAAAAGCGCAGTAAAATCCGCGCAACGTCTACGCAAAAATAAAACAAACATGGCCTCTTTGTTTCGAAATATTCCCCCCAAAAAACTTTATTAACTTTCTGTTGAAGCTCATTGTGCAAAAAGTTTGGTTATTGTAGGTCAAACATTTATGAGAGGAGACAATGTTAAATTAGTAATGGTAACAGGACTGAGTGGAGTCCAGTTCAGTCTGTAATCATACGAGTGATTAACAAAATCGGACGACCGCGTAGCGGGAGTCCGATTTGTTCAATCGCAAGTATGATTACAGACTGAATTGGACGACACGAAGTTCTGTTACCAATTAATCATAACTTTAACAAAATTTGTGACATAATAGGCTATTTTTTAGATCAAAACACAAGAAATCGAAATTTTGTTTTGCTAGCAGTGAAAAAAAAAAGCCATTTAAGTGCGCGCGTGATGGCGCGTACTGTCCAATTACTTAGGCATGACGTGTACTGTCCAATTAAGGCTGAAATCAGGGCAGTTGATAGCCAATCAGATTTGACAATTTTGTTATAGTTATGATTACACCAGTTACAGGTCGCTATTGATCTCCATAAGAGTAAATTGTATGTAAAAACGAAGCAGCAATTTTCCAAAGACATCAGTTCGTTTGCTTCAAAAGTAGACAAACGTAAAATAGTCGAAGTAAATGGTGAATGTAAACTTTACAAAGAAAACAAAGAAATAAGTACACTGACCCTAAAGGAAGCAATGTTACTGTTAATCAAAATGGTTTCCTGTTGTACAGAAAATGGTTTACAGAACTTACAAAATAATACATAAATTACTATATATACGATAGAAGCTCAATTTCTGGAACCTCGAGGAAAATGAAATCGGTTTCAAACATAGGTGAATTTACATCATTGGTTGAACAACAACAACAACAACAACAACACTTTATTCACATTTCCATTACAGGGTTTGTCAAACTTATTGAATAATTAGTAACTTAACACATAGAATATTCAATTACAATTTAAACTAAATATTATTACATAGAAGGAAATGCTTAGCGGCTAGATAACTGTAAGGTTTTCGAGCTAGCAACTAGTTCTTTGGAAGTAGTGTCGAATGTACAGGACATCACAATTGCAGATGCCTGCACTTAACAATGGTAGCCGAAAATTTGGCCAACGTTAAAAAACACGTGCGGCCGCCATTGCGCCATATGCATATGCCAGTCTAGCTCTGGGGTGCCCTGGTGGAAGACCCCTTTCCTCTCCATAATGGCATTGAAATTCTTGGCTTTCAAGGTTGGTTGTCAACACAACAATCACCTCCCTGTTCATCCCCTGGATCCTTTAATAGGCCTGTCAAACACCAATACTTCTGGTTAGTACCTTAATGGAGATCAAGGTTACTTTGGTCAAGTAGTTTTCAACAAAACTAAATTAAATGTAGAGAAAAGACTGTCTCTGCATGAAATGCTTGGACCAAGGTCTGTGTAAACAGTTTATAATTTATATAAAAAAGAAAGGAATTATCACAACACCTTCATTTAACAAAAATTATCATAATTCATTTCACTTTTGCTATGTAACAATTTCAGTTTGAGAATCCTATCGATATTTACAAAAAATAATAATAACATATTATTGCCTTGATCTGCATATGGAAATAATGGAATGAAAGATTCTGCTAGTTCTGGTCACTGTTCATTGCCAGGTTAATATTGTATAAATTCTTATTATTTCTAAAAATAATAACAAACTAACCAACCTGTTTGGATCCAAAGTTGAATAGTCCCTATTCTCTTTATACCAGGGTATCTAGTCTTCCACTATAAAGTCCAACATTGCAATATTGTGCTTCTTCCTTGTTTCTTCATTCAATCCTCAGCCATCACTTGCTTTGTGCCAATTGGCAATCACCTCAATAACCCATGCCTGTCTTGGAAATTCATTCTTCTTGCACTGGTTTGCGACAGCTGTTGACAATAGCTTTTCTGCATCTGAAACACTTTGCTTCCTCTTCCCAGTTAAAGCTGTGTATGCTAGACAAGTGTGTGGGTCATTCATTGCATCAACAAAAGCCCCTGTAGCAAAATTCGGCACAGTGCCCTGCCTAATACAACCAGCAGTCCTCTTCAGAACGTGATTGTGGTCCTCTCTTTCATGTTGTGGCTCCCCACCCTCATCTTCCTCAGGGACTTACAGGAGGTCTCTGAAATTGACTCCTGCTGCTGTGAAGTCTTTAACCTTCTTCTGAAATAAGTAGATGGGCATCAAGTATTTTAGCATTCTGACTTTGACTCTGTTTTCCCTGAGTAAAAAAAAACTCAACATAATTTACTGGTAATAGCAAAGCATGTAAACAACTGAGCAGTACCCTCAGGGTGCAAAGAAAGTCAGTTTCACAGCCTGCCATTTGGGCAAGCTGTAGCTAGCATATACTAGCCCACAAGTCATTTCAACTAGCCCCCAAACCCTTTTTGATCAGCAGGATTGACTACAATCCTTCTGTAACTTGAATTTCCCCCCAAAACAGCACTTGCCCGTTGGGCAAAATAAGAACAAAAATCACTAGCCTGTTAGCAAAATCCACTAGCCCCGGGCTATGGGACACAGCTTTCTTTGGACGCTGACCCTGTTAGCATTACCAAAAGAAAAAACAATTTTTAGTAATAATTATCACATCCATCAGTAAGTAAATTATTAATAATATTATTACAATGATAATAATCATGGGTCTCAATAAGTTTTTAATCATACAGCTGAGATGTAGAAGCAGCGTATGTTGTAGGCAACTCGTGGCCTTTACTCACAAAATTTACATATTAATTTTTTCCCCTAAAAGTAGATGGCTGACCTCAAATTTACCAATCTTTTGGCCAATTGCCAGCACTTATTCAATAACATTAAAATTAATCAAAGTAACCTTAAAAGGCAATAGAATAACTCTAATAATGGGTATTAGCACACTTCCTTATACCAAATTCCATGTTTCTTTTCTTGGAAATTTCAATGTGCAGTCCTGTCTTTTAAACAGAACATCCTCTTTCCCCACTTAAATTACGCATTAAACTCCTGTAGCACTTCTACAAAGTGAAAATAACACATTTTGTTAGGTAGAGATTGTACCTCTCGTAGTGTTTTTATTTTCAACAAAAAAAATTGATCACTGTAAAACAATTCCTTCAAATATATTCCACAATATCATACCTGCTACCCACTCAGTTGGATTATAGTCTGCTGGAAATTTGTTTTGATGCAGTAACTTCAAAGAATTTATAAAGGTTCAACCTTCCCTCTCCATTGAATCTACTAGCCAAACCACATCATCCAAAGGGACAGCTGGATGGAAATTGGTTGGGAAAATTTGATCACCTACAATTAAGAACAGACACATAAGAAATTTAAATTTAGAACATGGACACTATCTCCACAACCTAAATAATAATAATTACAATAATTATAACACCAACAACAATACTAATAATAATGAATTTAAACTTGTAACCATTTTACATACCTCTGTGTACTGATGTCATATATGACTGCATGTCTCCCGAAGATGTGGAGCGGGCCTCTGCTCTAGCATCAATAATTAGCTGTTATTCAGAGATAGGCCAGTGGGTTCCTTGTGTGCATAGGGAGTTAAACTCACTATCAGTAACAAATCCTAGTTTAGAAAAAAAAAACATAACAGTAAAAAACTTTGCAAGGCATAACCAGTCTAATGACAGATTTCACTGGATATCTTTTAACAATGGCAAACATTTCAATAAACCTCCCCATCTAGGATGGAAACCCAACTAAGCTAAAAACATTCTAAACACGTTCACTTTGAGTTACTTTTGCATCAACGCAACCTGGAATTGACAGTATTTTTTTCCAAGTCTCAACAGAAGGAAATGGAGGAGCTGATGAACCAGCCCGCCCTTGAGGGCAGGAAAATGTATTTTCAAGGGTCTAAACTTTAAATATTTTGGGGGGGCATGCCCCTAGACCCTCCCTGGACACTCAGGCACTTTGGGTCATTCGTTACATGGCTGTTGGCCATGTTTTAGGATACTATGGTAGGAATATGTGCAATCATGGGATGACTTGTAAAAGGTTCTTACCTACAGTTGTCAGTGATTCCCTTGTACTTGACAACACGAACAGGAACAGCATAAGGTTAGAAGCTTCTCACTAATCATGAAAAGAAGGAGCTGAGAAGCAGCCTCTCTTTTTTGGTATTTAGACCCTTGATGTAAGGCTCAATTTCTTCAGGTTTGCCATTTCAGCTTGAATTTTGCCTCACTCATTTGGTGGACCACTTATTCTTTACAAGATTCCATGAATAGTTATCTGGATTGTTTCATTTTTTTCCACCAATTTGTAATATCCCTCAACATTCCAGGCAAGAACAAAGAGCGAATCTTCTGACACATTTAATGCTCTTCTTTTGGACTCGTACGGATGTTTAGCCTTTATAAGGCCTTCAGTCAAAAACAATTTCTCCTCTGGCATCTTATCAAGAAGTTTCTGCAGGTCACCCCCTGTGGTTGCAAGAAACCTTCTTTGCTTGACTGCCATCACATCACCAGACCTGTCATTAGTTATAGACTCATGAAGCCCGACTTGTATATCCGTTTCATCAGCCTTGGGCCGCTGAGTAGTGGTGTGTTTTTGGTGCAACTGCTTTAAAGCTGATACCTGTAATAAACATCAGTACTATTACCAACTGAATTTACAAATTAACTATTATGTCCTCCTTTTGGTTCATACTGGAGTCATCGACCACTTTAGAAAATTGAGTTCCTATTCAGCATTAGTGGCTTAAATGAAAAACAAAATATTAAATTAAATAAATTATTGTGAAAACGTTCTGCTGATGTTTCATTGAACAATAATAACAGCTTACCTGAATCTTGCAGACCTTTGAATAACTACTCTTCTCAACCATTCTTCAGGCAGTCCTTGCGGAGGGACCAGCAATGTTGACCTTGGCCTAAATATCACAAAAAATCAACCAGGTTTCTGTTATTGTCCATGAGTAATCAAATACCTGGGTTTAGGGTACTGTCAAATACTCTTTCGCTGCATTACTCATGAGCAGGAGAGAAAAGGGCGTCAATAAATAAATGATAAATGGAAGAAAATTAAATTTACTTTTGAAATACATCCTGTGCTTACTCCCAGCAGATAAAGAACTTTAAAAAATTTCAGTAACTTTCTGAATATTTCTTAGAGAAAGACCACCTGGGGAAGATATTGTTACAGTTGTTATATGACTTAAATAATTTAGTTAGAATAGTGTATATTGTCTTTAATGTGTTATAAATTTCTGTAGATTGTTGTTTTTGTGATGTGGTTAATGGCAAGAATAGTAGTCTCCTAACAACCTAAATTTAATAATTCAGAAACTGTAACAAAAAAAGAACCCTCCCAGTAGAAAGTATGCAATGCAGTTCCGGGTAACATGCCAAGTCAACAATATCAGAATTCTTACATTCAGAGGATTTCTGTCCCTGTTTGAAGTGCTTGATACATTTCTAGAATGAATCCCATGGATAGCTTCAAGCTCTGATAACGTTAAGGAAGATTCCTGGTGTTCTGATATGTCTGCTTCACTTAAAGACATCCACCGGTAGGAGACTGAATTCCTTGAAGTAACTGAAGCCAATGGTTCTTCACTTTCCACTGATAGATTTTTTACAGCTTCTGCAACCTCAGAGGGAGCTACTACAACAGCAGTGTTATTAGGCAAATCTGTTGGGAGACCGTGGTAAAGAGCTGCATTTCTCTGTAAGCACACTACTGTCACTTCCAAAAGTCTGTTGCAAAGCTTCTGTTAATATATCAGTGGGACGGGAGGTACCTACATGTGTGTACGTTTGAAATTTCTGGGTGTGTCAACGTCTTTGTCCACATATGACCACATAGGTCCATTGTGCATCGGAACCCACTTGATACCAAAATTAATAGGGTGTACATTGATTGATACCAGGATTTTTAATCCTCCGCGGCCTCTAAATTCACGACATTTTCAGAAGCAAAAAATCTTAGATTGTGGGTGATTAGACCAAAAAGCATTCTATCAAGAGGCATTCGAGGAGTTCCCTCTGTCCGCATGTCACCATGGTAGCATACAGCATCATATATGTTATTGTTCTTTCCATTTACAAATAACACTTGTAAGGTATTGGAAAGGTGAGGCAGGAAATCAGATGGAACAAAGGAACTTGACATAGTAGAATGAAAATCTGCTAAGAGCCATTTCTTGAACAAATATACCATGAGCTACTGGCGCTGCCTCTTGGTTAGTTCTAAAAAACTGGAACTCACTACATCAAGTATAGATCCAGGTAATTTTCTGTTATGTGAAATTTGTAAGGGTTGCAATGACAACAGGTTAGATTCAACTGAATGTGGAACTTCAACACTTCGAGGTATTGGTGTACTTGTGGTGGTACTTCGGAATTCTTGCATCACAGGACACTAATCAAAATAATTGATGTTGAACGCATCCTCTGCATCACTGAGACTTTCAAATTTTACTTTCAGGAAATGACCCACCTTATCCTTGCAAGCATTCCCTGAAAAAGAAGAATGACCTACAGGGTTCTAGTTAATTTTTGTGATAGGAGGTAACAAAGTTCTCATAGCAGGTAACTTTGTTACCTGCACACATGCCGGGGGTGTGGGGGCCGCGTAGGCCCCCACCTGGGTCCAGGGGCAGTGCCTCGTTGGGGGCCAGGGGAAAGCCCCTGGGAGCTCCTGGATTTTCAGCAAATTGAAGGATGTTTGGACAGCTCTCAGTGCACCCTTTCCAGCAAATTGTGGATACCGTTGTCAGCGTCAATGACCCTTACAAAATGTTGTGAGTTCCTTTTATTTGTGTGATTTTTACACATTTAAGCCATTGATGAAATAAATAGATTGATGTAAACATATATTTTACATATATTTATTGTCTTAAACACTGTTTAAACATGTATACATTTCTATTGATATCAATTTATTCTTTGTTAATGTTGCCAAGAAAAAAAACTGCCAGTGATGTCCTAACTTCTATAACACAATTTTCTCAGTGTAACATGATAATCACTGTTTCCACTTTCCAATCAATTATTCCAACATGATCAATCATAACACATTATTCGCTACTATTCTTATATTATTCTTTTTTTAGTAATAAATTGATTGAATCATGTATTTTTCTCTTTTCATAAACACTGTTGTGTTGTTTCTATTGATATGAATCTATTCTTTGTTAATGTTGTCAAGAAAAAAAACTTCCAATGCTGCTCTAACTTCTATTGAATAATTTCCTTAGTATCTGTATAACATATTGTGAACATAATCACAGTTTTCTCTACCAATCAAATATTCCAACATGATCAATCCTAACACCTTATTCCCTAATATTATCAATAACAAAACGTTGTCGACTTGAAATGTCCACTAGGTCTGAAAAAATTAGCAAAAACAATGTCCTGGCAGTCTCTGCTAGCTCTTCAGCCTTGGGACCTTTTACCTCATCAGCAGAACTGTGAGCCACATCATCTTGCTCACTGGTTTGTACCTGTACATAAGAGAAATTGCCAATTAACAAATACCCGTTATCCAAGTTAACAGATTAGTTGGAGTTAACTTTGTACGAAAGATATAAATGAACACTCCAGTTAACACTCCAGTTACTTGACTTCATACACATAAAAATATTCAATGTACCTGTGCATCAGATGTTGATGTCATGCTTGAAACATTCATACGTGTAGCACACTGCACATTGGGTAGCTTCCTTCTCCTGACCTGACTCCATCGTTTCACAGCTCTGTCAATGATCTTGCTTCCCTCTTTGGATGAGACAGCTGGGCCATTGATGAAAACATGCATCAAAGCCTCAAGAAGATCATTTTTCATGCGGCTTGGTACGCATGTCTTCACCCTCCACAAAGTGCTCACTCCTCTTTCTGGCCAAGCATTGGATACTGGCATCGTGGTGCAAAGTTGGGTGATTTTGTAGATCATGGGATACACTCGTGAGTAGGTCTCCTTCCTAGCAATGAGGCGGTGCAGCACCCATTCAGTGGGAGTCATTTTTGTCGTTGCTGTTTTGAACTCCTCTTTTGATTTTCATTTTACCAGCTCAAATTTGAAGTTATTTCACTCAGCATGAAGCTTCTCCTCGTCGGTTTGTGTTGAATAATAATGGGCTGCGAGAATTTTAACTTCACTTGATGTATAGCATCTGAAGCTAGTATCATCTGGTGGTGGCACAGCCAGTGGATCGAAGATAGAAAAGCTTGAGACCACAGGTAATGCTTCTTGAAACCGGTGGTTAATGTTTTTCTTCAGGGACAACATATTTGGAGAGCAAGCTGGTTACTTCTCTGTACTCGTATGGGGTTGGGTTCAGGCCGCATAGGGAGAGCCTACCATCTTCTGCAAGGTCTGCTTGCATCTGTGTGACAATTTTGTTATCCTCTACAACTCTATCCAAGGCACTCTGGGTTGCCTTTGTGGCTGGCTTAATTCCAGCAAAATTGACAGTTCCTTTCTGGAATGTCGTGCTTAGGGTGGAAAGGGCAGGGAGAACTTGATTTAGGATATAAATGGCACCAATAAATGTGAGAGTTCTCATCTTAGATAACAAGCCAGCAGCAACAGCATCTGCCTCTCAAAAATGCTGTAGTGTCTGCATAAGGGGCACAAAGTTGAGATAGACTCCTTCAACTGAGCGCACCAGAGACAACCATTGGGTTCTGCACGATTTGCGCACTTTTTGTAGCGCAATCTTGGCTGAACCAGTCACTTGAGTGAGAGACTTGTAGGCAATTTGAATCTTGAGGTACTTGGAGGTCTTTTTCAGGGAAATTTCAAAAAATTTCAATTGCCGTAAAATGGTTTCAACCACTGAAACATAGCTTTTTTCATCATTGGAATCAACACAGGACAAGGCCAGTCGATGACAAATGCAGTGGAATGAAATGATCTTGCAGTTCATAGACTTCAGCTTTGCAGCTAATCCATTTCTTTGGCCTGTCTTGACAGAAGCTCCATCACTTGCTAGGCTCATCAAGTTTTCAATTTTAAGTTCACTATCTTCTACTTGTGTCAATAGAACTTTAAGAAGCACACCTTCATTAGCACCTTCTGCTTCTGGGTCATTGAGAACATCCTCTATAAAGAGGAATTTAACTTCCCGCTGTGAAGGTAAAGGATCGATGTAACTTACAAATGTGACCATTTGTTCCATTACTGCGATGTCAGAGTGCGATTCATCTATAGAGAAGAAAAAATCATTGAAATAAAAGAAACTTAAAAAGGTGGAATATTACACTAGAAAGTAATGCACGCTTTTGCTAGGGGATGTTTAGCCTTCTCACTTACAGTTTGCATGACTGTGGGTATTGTAATTGTGCAACAGTTACGTCTTATATACAACGGAACGTTTCTCTTATATTATATTTCAAACACTATAAGAGGTTTGAACCATTTTGAATCAGTTCTTAGCATACATTGAATGGCATTGTAACAGGAGAAAGGAACAGACCTATTAAAGAAGCGGCATTCATTTCAGAATATCGTTGTCGGTCACACATGATGTTATCACCAATTAACTTGCTAATTAGAAAATTATGAAAAAAGAAAACACCAGACACAAGTACAAGTAATGCCAATATATTTATTTTCACTCACCACTTCTCCGCCTCTTTGGTTGAAAACCAAATTCCAAAAGATCTTTTTGTCCTTTTGGTTGTCCATGCATGGATGCCATCTTGTTAACGTACTGAGGGATGATGGAAATTTTGCACTGGCTATGAGAAGAATGGGGAAAGCAGACATGGCGGAGGTTAAACGTGATGATGTTTGCAATGTAATGATGCTCAAAGACACGCACAATTCCAGAAACAGATGATACATTTCCAAAGCGAAAACATCTGGTAGATATTCTTCCAATATACTTTTTTTAAAAATGTGATTTTTAAACAGAAGTGTCATTGTTGAAGGCTTCAGAATAAAATCTCAATAACATTTTGATTATGATAGCTGGTAACATTTACGTGAATAGCCGGTAAATATAACCGGTTACCGGCTCTTAACAAGAACCCTGGACCTAGTCATGCATTCGCCATTAAGCACTGTTATTTACTGCAACAACACAGGCAAAGCATCACCAGTTATTGTTATCCAGTTTTCATTCAGTATAATGTCTAAGCTGTACCATCCAGTAATTCTAATTGTGCATATGATTCTCCCTCATTAAACATAAAGAGGGGGCTCAAATACCTGGTTAGCACAGGAAAGCAACCCAGAGACAGTGGTAACAGTGCCATGGCTCAGGCCCGAGGGGAGCAAAACTATACAGATAAAGAGGGGGTTATTTTGACACTGCTCATTCAGCAAGAAGCAGTAACAATGCTTTAACATTAATATGTAGGTTACAAATATCAAGGAATAGGTGAAAGTACTTGAAAGTCAGAAAAAATTATAATTTATACTTACAACTTCCTTTGTATCCACCACCAAACTGAATAACAGCATTGGCACAGTTCTCCCAAAAGTCTTCTCTCTCTTGAACGGGCCAGGTATCAGTACCATTTCCTTTTGGGTTATGATACAAGGCAATGTACTTAACAAGGGCATGGATTTCTGAGTCAGTCCACTCTTTGTCCCTGGGTTTCTGGAAGGGTATTGTTGAAAACATAAGCGTATCGAAAAACACCAAACCATAGAAACTGACATCCAAAATCACACTACTTACCGGTGTATGTAATTCTGATTGAAATAAAGTTTTTCTTGAAGATGGAATGACTTTCAGTCTTTGTTTTACTGGTGGCTTGCCTGGGGTCTGCCCAGTCAAAGGCTCATGACCCTGCTTTTAGCGGTGGCTCATGGCTTAATCTACGTGAAGAAAACGTTAAACTCCAGTTAATATACAAAAACCAAAATGTTGAACATAGTATAGCAATATTAAGACTCGTAGTGCTTATTTACGGTGACAATGCTTCCTCACGTGGCACAAACTGAAGTGTTACACATTCAGGGTCCAAAGAAAATCAATTTTACAGCTTGCCCTTTGGGCAAGCTTTAACTAACATCTTCTAGCCCAAAAGTCATTTTTACTAGCCCAAAAAAATTTTTTCACAGGCAGAATGAAAAAACATTAATTAATTATTCCTTTTTTAATGACACTTTAAGTTAATAAATTACTGGCTTTCTTTATTCATTACAATCAGCTTTAGTTATTTAACAAAACCAATAATTAATGTAAATAACCGTAAAAGTGTGAACTATAAGTAGACCTGGTAAGATACTCTTAACACACTCGTACAATAATTCAGTGTCCACCTTTTGATCATAAATGCCTTTGTCTTGAAAGTCAACTCACAATGATGAAATAAAGAATTTAAGTGAAGCTAACGGAATGAAGGTCCAAGTAACAGACAATTGTTTTTCTTTGAAAAAAAAAGAAAAAATGCTAAAAACTACAATGGACACACTAAACGACAACGTTGACAACGCGAAAAGCTGCCAGTGAAAGCGCTTCATTCTGCAATTTGCTGCCAAAAAAATTTTCCGCGGGAGTATTTCCTAGCCGCTGATAGGGGAGATGTTTATATGTTTATACAATATTGAAGAGTAATAAATGATCTTCAAAATTTTGAGAAAAGTAGCCCAATCGAGAAAACGAAACGCGAATGTGAGCCATTTGAAATTGCATCAAGTAAAATCCCAAGGAAGAGCAGCCATTTTGGAATGCTGAGCAAAGTAAAACTAAAATATACGCTAAACATCAACTCACCTTTAAAATGTTTACACCAATACAATCAACAGGGTCCAGGCAAACAAGCAAAGTAATTTCTTTGAATCAATGACCGACAAAGAAAAAAAAACGTGATGTTTGAAAGAGTAATTTCACAAACAAGCCAGAGACGGTGTTCCTGAGTTGTGATTGGTCCAATTTGCTTCTGTGATGCTTTGTGAACTACTGTCGAAATAGGCTGAAAAGACTTGTTATTTTTTCATGAATTTTTGTTTCTCTTCAGATCATTTCTCTATGATTTTACCCTGGATTAAAGTGCTTAACAGGGCTGTCAATAAGGGCCGGTAGCTGGCCAAAACCACCAGCTAGTTTGCCATCCTTTGCCGGCTACTTTCATCTCCTACCACAAGTGAGTCACAACTGCTAACAAAAAATGAGCACCATGGAATAAAATTGTAAAGCATCCGTTTCCCAGTTTTGAATGACATTGAACGCATATTTAAGGTGGCTTGTCTGGATTTTTTAGTGGGTATACCTCCCAAGTTTGAGCATTAAGAGGCTATCCATGAGAAAACCATGCAAAATGTGCTACAGTGCACATCACAGAATTGGCTCAAACTTTCCATATAGGCATAACTTGGTGAAGTATAGGTAGATATGGTATTAGTTTTGTTCAAGCCTCTTTCTTTTCTTTTTTTCAGGGGGGGTACGCTTGAACAGCCAAATCTACACTGAAATATGTGCAAATTTTGTGATTTTTTGAATGACAATATTTCTGGCAAATTTTTCAGCAATCCAGGTGAAACAAAATTCTCACAAACTACTAAGTATACACTCTTAAACGATGACAACATAATCAGTGTGACCCTTCTTTATTAAATTTTCCATAGCATTATTTAACATGATATATGTTAATGAGAAAAATTATGCAAATTTCTTGAGTTTTCAAAAAAAAATAA